TATTATTATTATTATTATTATTATTATTATTATTGAATTAAATATAACTCCAAATACTGTATATTATAATAAATATTTTATAAATAATTTATTATATTTTATTTTATAAATTATTCAGTACTACATTATTATTATTAATATTATTTGAATATATACATATTTATAATTATGTAATATATCACAAGTCTGATCAAAAAAGTTTCTCTGATATATTAAATTTTTTTAAAAATAAATAAAATAAATATCCAAAAATTATTTTTAATCTTGGTTTTTTTTCAGCAAATTAACTAATTTACTGGAAAAATAACAAAATTAACTAACAGTAAATTAATTAATTTAACTTTCCAGTAAAATAACATACAACTTATATAAACATAAAACATCTATAGATATAGATATATACATATAATATAGCTTAAGTTTAGGATTTTTTTTTTTGTTCTATACATAAAACTTACTACATTTAAGTGAGATTAGTCTAAAACAATGACAACAAAAGACAAATAATCAATAGGAAAATAATAAAGACATTCTGTCTGAAAACGTGTCTTGATACCCTTGAGTAAAACTGATCATGTTTTAAGGATGTTCAGATATTTTTACTTATAATTAAAAAAAAATTGAAGTCTCGTAAGTTCTAAAAGAGCGTCTTCTGTGGCTGATGAAAACACAAGGCTGTTCAATATTCAGTGGAGGCCATACGTACTTTCTTAAGCTCATTGAAAAGTCATTTCCAGCCCCTCTGGAGGCGTCAAAGCCAAACTCAGCCGCTGTTATTCTTGAAACATTTTTCAGTGGGGCGGCAGACAGCGAGATAACACGGGATGTCACGGCTGCTCATCCATCTTCATGAGGACTGCAGCGCTCAGAGAGTGAAGTGTCACACAGCGAGACACCGTTTGTTGCCATGTGTGTCTTTGTCGAGGGGTATAAATCAATGTTGGCCCGTGCAAAACTCTGACACATTAACCACAACTTACTCACCGAGCTGCCAGTCAGACAACACACCTCAACACACTCGCCACAGGAGAAGAGCAATGTTTCCAGAAGAGAGTGAGATTTATAGCTGTTCAGACGTGTTAATATTCATCTTGTTTCACTGATTGAGAGATTATCAAGACACGATATCTTCAAATATCTCAGAGGAAGACTTGTGAGATTTATTTAGACATATACAAATAAATATATTAAAATTATACATAACTACATATGAAACTGTGTATAAAATAAATATAATTATATATAAAACTATATAATCCTATAATATATATTACAATTATATATAAGTATATATAAAACATAATTATGTATTTGTTTTAGTATTCTACTGCTTCTTCTATTTATTATTATTATTACATGGTTTTTATTTATTTATAAAATATAACAAATATTTGGACATATATAAATAAATGAAAATATATACATTTTAAATATAATAATAATAATAATAATAAATTATTATTATTATTAAATTATTGGAGAGATTAAGACAATTGACAATTAAGAATTGAGATTAAAAAAAAATGTACAGTATATATTTACATAATATACATAGTATTAAATTTTTATAAAATATAACATTAATATAATTAATAAATATAATTACAAATATATAAATAATATAATTATACAAATACATATATTTAGAAATATAAATAAATATTCTCTTACATAACGAGAGAATATCACCATGAGGTTTTCAAAATATCTCAGAGGAACATTTTATCAGACGTAATAAATAAATAGTACTGAATTATTTATAAACTATAATATTTGGAAAGATTATCAAAATAAGACATCTTCAAAATATCTCAGAGGAACATTTCAAGTACTAAATGATTTATAACTATATTTATTAATAATATAATATAATTAGTGCTGTCAAGCGATTAATCGCATCCAAAATAAACGTTTTTGTTTGCATAATACATGTGTGTGTTCTGTGTACATTTATTATGTATATATAAATACACACACTTGCAGTATATATTTTGAAAATATTTCCATGTCTATATTTATATTCATATAATTTATATTATATATAAATATATTTAATATATAAACATAACATATTTTTCTGAAATATATACATGCATGTGCGTGTATTTATATATACATAATAAATATATACAGTAATTATGTAAACAAAAACTTTTATTTTGGATGCGATTAATCACGATTAATCGTTTGATAGCACTAAATAATATAATATAATATAATATAATATAATATAATATAATATATTTGAAGATATTATCAAGTCATGAATTCTTTCAGTATATCGGAGTAGAACTTTTTTTTTTTTGCTCAGAAGTTTCTCAGGAGAATTCATGGTGTTCTCAGATGTATTTAAGCATCAACTTCTTCTAAAATTTATGAGGAGAAATAAAAAACTGACACAAATGATTTAGTAGTTGCCATCTTGAGTGAACGTGACGTTAAACGAGTTCATATTGAGATTAAATGCAGTGTGAGACTGTGTTGAGATCCTACTGGAACTCTAGAGGAGCCTCATGTGAGACACTACGCTGCAGTATCTTGTGTTTATTGCTGCAGCGAGAGGTGCGTATGATCCAGATGTGTGCGGGTCACTCAGTTCACCCACCTGTTGCCCTCAAGCGTCAATCGACCGAAAACCACCATCGCCTTGTCACGACAAGTCTCTCTCTCGCTCCCTATCGCTCTCGTTTTGCTTCCTCTGCAGTCAAAACATCAGAGCGGTGCTCGAGATCGCATCTCCACACTTACAGCTTTACCAAACTCAAGTACAAACTCATATCACGCTTTACGATTTCATCATGACCCTGAGAATGAAACAAGCAGTTTTTGCTGCTGTCACTTTAAGACGTATATATAAATGTCTGTTTAAATGTGAAATGAACTGCAGTGTTTTGCAGAACACACACACACACTCTCTAGTCCAGTTTAGAACTGCTTCATCCTTCAATAACAGCTGAAATGTGTCACTCAGACTGTCCATATGCTTAATGGCTGTCATATGTTATTGTGCCTATGGTTGTGTATGTACGCAGAGATTGAGATTCATCACAAGAGCTCTAATGAAGAGGCAGACAGGAAGCACAGACCCACCTAGTAACGGCACCGTAATTCAGTCTAAATACAGTTTGTGCCTCAGTAACAACAACAACAACACACACACACACACACGCACACGTTAGTGACTTTCTGTGCTCATGGCCCTATTTTTAACACATTAATTTTCTACTGATATAATACAATCTTTTCATGCTTACCCAGCTATTATATAAATAAAATAATTAATAAAACAATGAATATAATTAATAAGTATATAATTATTAATAAGTAAAAATTTTATTTTATATGTATATAAATATAGAATAAATATAAAAATAGATAAAATAATTAATTTTATGCCTTCTATATAATTTACATAATGACTTTTAGTCATTATATATTGTATGTATACAACATTTTTATAACTTTTTATAAAATATATATAACTTTTTATTATTAGTGCAGTCAAACGATTAATCGTGATTAATCACATCCAAAATAAAAGTTTTTGTTTACATTATATGTGTACTGTGTATATTTATTACGTATATATAAATACACACACATACAGCATATATTTTGAAAATATTTACATGCATATACATTTATATATTTTGACAGCACTCTAATATATATATATATATATATATATATATATATAAGGATGGAAAATAGAAAATAGATTGATCTGCTGTAACAGCACCAGTGAGACTCACATCAGATACGCATTCGCTGGAGAAGACACCCCAGCTCCAGAGCGTCTGCTGAGATTCATTTGACAGATTTGCGTCACATTATCTCTGAAAATCCTCAAATCTCAATCACAGTCTGGCTTCCTCTACAAACACAACAGACTGAAGGGAAGCATGCGTGTCCTCTGTCTGAGCAGGACGAGCAGATCGCAACTACATGATTACACTTTCAGCCAGAAGATTCAGATAGCATCCGTGAGCTAACTCAGGCTTATTGTTTATGAAATGTGAAATCTCAGCACTCTCTGAGATCGAGTGGACATGAACTAATGGTTAGAGAATGTCACATTCTGGAGACAAATTCAGTCTAAAAAGTCTCTATTGTACCTTATCTTCCAGTCGGATGAGCCGGGCTCCCACTGTATAATGTTCCTTATCCACACCTTTCTCTGAAAACACAATAAAGATAAATAATAAGACAGTCAGAAATAATTATTTTCAGTATGTAACAGCCAAAAGCTGTTATTAATATTAATATTAATAGTGTTTTATTAAACCACCCTGCTCATATAAAAGGCTTCTTTAGTTTTCTTCACGTGTTTCACTACTAAGTGGCGGAAAACCAGAACAGTACACTTTATACGAGGCAAAACTTCTATATATAACTCATATATCAATTTTAAAACGTTTTGCAGTCTTTCTCCATCACAATTGGCTTTTTCAATCAATTTTCCATCTTTTTATTTAAACAGGCAGTTCTTGTAGGTTGTAAACTCATCAGGGGTGAAAGAAAAAGTGTTTTTTAATAATGCTCACTTTTTAATTATGCAGTTTGGGAGGGATTTGTCATTTTTATTATTATTTATTCGGCTCACAATTATTCTTTTTTTGTATATTTTATATAAAATGGGAACAATATCTGTATGTTAAATTCAAGATCTGCATTTTGTCATTTTTATTCATTGAGATAATTCATGGAAAATATGTTTAGGTGAGAGATTTCTGGCATCTGGTGGAAAACAAACACTTTTAAAACGAAAACAACATGATATTAGCACTATAACCAGTAGATGGCCCTAATGGATCACTCAATGGCTCATTTGCCAATTTGGATTTATATTTAGACATTATAAATTCACTTTTTGTCAAAGAGCAGAACTGTTTTGTACTGAAGTATCAAAAACGCATCGGATCTACTGGAATCACACAAATTACCTACTCTGAGCTAAAAATGCGACATTTTCTGCGAAAGGTGACTAGTTTGCATTACATTTCCCTCCTTTATTCACTTTGGTCTATTCAAGTTGTAATATGGGAGGCTGCACGTTAATGAGATGGATGTGATGTCTGTATTTGCAAGTATGTATTCTATTAGCCAATCAGAGGTCATTTAACTTGTAAATGACTTCTGATTGGCTAGCATCTGTTTAGAGTGGGTAAAGTTGCCGTATATTGAATTATTATTGTTACATGTTAATGAGATGCATGCAATGTTATAATCAAAATGGTTTCTGCACTTGCGTGTGTTTCCATGTTTGCAGTTTAGTTTCAATTAACAATCTGAGTTCATTGTTAGATAGTAGATTAAACTCTTTAATTAAAAAAGCAAGTATAATAGATCACAGAAGCGTTACTATGCTGCGCTTTATGCATTTTCCCACTGTCATATTCATGTCATTTCCACTGTGTGTTGTATGTAAAATGAGTGTTACCTTGGCTCTGTTCGTTACAGTTTACTTCCTTTTTAATTATATTTTTATTAAATATTTATTTATTTGTGGAGAATACTTTGTCATCTAAAGTAAAAGTATGTTTATTTTACAAATTTAGTTTTTGATCCATTTTCAAATGATTTCAAATTTCTTAAATATTAATTAAAATAAATACATTTATATCGGCCACCCTGCTTTCCAAGATATCGGCATCGGCTGTCAAAAAACCAATATCGGTCGACCACTAATTACGATTTTGTGCTTATTTTTTTGTGCTTTTTTTCATGCATTTTGAATGTTTATTTGATGTGGGAACATTTAAAAACTCAGTTTTCCTGTACCTGGCAGGAACATTCCCGGTTTTCCCAACGTGTGATCCAACCTGCGAGAGGAAAAACAGCAGGAAACTGTGACATACACAGCGATTGTTTGGAAATCCCGCCTACGCCACTAATTTTGTGGGAAGGAACGGGAATAAACTCTGAGGTGACGTCACATGGAGTCTCACCTTCTCTGGAGCTCTTTGATGCGGACCATCATGTTCAGGTGGCCCTGCGAATACTGCTCGATCACGTCCCGCACGTCGTACGGTTTCCTCGCTTGCTGCGGGACAGAGACGGCATCCATGAGAGCCATTGTCAACACAGCTCCCTCGGGCCTTGAACTTCCTCGCTTTGTTATTATAGCTCAATTTAACTCAATAACAACAATAGCAAAGGTATGCAACTTGTCTCAGTTTTGACTGAAAATTTACTTGAGCATATTTATTAATTTGGGTTTATATCACTGTTTTTGAATTGCTTTGGTTTCTCTTTTGTAAGTCGCTTTGGATAAAAGCGTCTGCTAAACGCATATATGCTAATGTAATAATTGTTTTAGTAGCTTCTTGACTAATTGGGTTGTTTACAAGAACAAATTTTTGTCAATTTTTCACAAAACTATTCAAAGTGATTATTTTGTTTTATGAGCGTTCAAACAAGTTCGATCTGCTCGTGTTTCATGAATGAGGCTCATTGAAAGTATGAAAACTAAAGTCATTTTCACTTTTTTATTGAATTTTTATAAATATGCACTGAAATATGAAGAGTTTCATATATGTGTGTGTGGTGTGGTGAAAATAATATAATAAGAAAATAGGGTAATAGGAATAGTAAAATAATTAAATTAAAATTGAAAAATTAAAAACACATGAAATACATATAAAACAATAATATATTACACAAATTATTATTACTATTATTATTATAATAATATAGTAAAAGAAATACTAGTAACATTAATTTTTATATAGAGAAATAGAAATAGAAATTATATCAATTAAATATTAAATAATAACAATAGATATTACTTGGAATGCGCAATAAAAAAAACGAGATTTCTGTTATTTGCAAAAAACGAGATTTCTGTTATTTGCAAAAAAACTCTTCATATATATATACATACATACATACATATATATATATATATATATGAAAGTGCACTTGATCGCTTGATTCTGACATACAAAATAAAAGTACCTGAAATTTCCGTCGAGCCACAAAGTACTGCATCCTTCTGATGACCTTGATGGCAGATCTGTGTGCGTGGGAAAGTCTGCAGAGAACAAAATAAACAAACACACAGCGTCAGAAAACACAGCAGGCCTGCTGTCAATGTATGTGTGTGTGTGTGTGTACGTGGCAGTAAAACCTGGTGACAATAACAACAGACGCACAGCACAACACACACACACACACACACACACACACTCGCTCTCTCTAAGGGAGGGCACTTGGGTTTTTTTGGCTCAAACACCCTGTTATTTCCAGCATTACGCTGCCTTGCCAAAGTTTCTACGCAGAAATCCATGCAGCAGCAGTGAAGCAGTAAAGAACTCGTCTGGCCTGTTATCAGTGACCCCGATGATGACCTTTGACATCAAAGACCTAGTAAATCCACAACACAGTCTAACGAGAGCGTCTTAAAGGAACAGCTCATCCATAGTGAGATATTCTGACATTATTCACTCACACATTTATGTCTTTGTTTTGTTTTCATCTTTTAAGCATCTATATTTGGGATTCACACATAGAAGAAAGTCATACGGGTTTGGGCTGAGGAAATGATGACAGCATTTATTTTGGGGTGTACTGTCTCTTTAAGGGTGTGTGTTAAGTGATTCTGAGTGTGGCGTGTGTGTGTGGGTCATGGTCGGTGTGTGTTAATGGGCTGATCAGTGTGCGTTGGTCACTTAAATTGCTTTACATTCCAGCACACGTACTTCAGACAGAGAACTGACTACACTACAGGACAAACACACACGGCGCTTGTGGAAACATTCAAAAGAGGGTGTCACTTCCTCCAGTTAACAACCAAACAAAGACATGCGTCACAAACATGTCATGAGATGTCTTTCCAAACCCATCCGACTTCTGTAATGTGACATCTACCTACATGCGTACATGTACTGTAGCCCTATTGTATATAATAGGAAAACAGGAAGAGTAAAATAATCAAAAATAAATAAAACTACAAGTAAATACACAATAGTATGTCTTATAAATATTATAAATGGCTAATTATAATATATATATAGTATATATTATCACATATATAATTCTATAATTAAATGACATATATAAAGGGGGTGTCACTTCCTCCCGATGAATAAATAAATATAATTAATGTTTATATAGCTGTATATAATATGAAAATAGAAATGTTAAAAATTACATAGTAGTACATGATAAACATTACAAATAGCTAAATATATAAATAAATAAATATACATATATACTGTATATTTAATTTATTTATCAGGAGGAAGTGACACACACACACACACACACACACACATACATATATACTGTATATTTAATTTATTTATCAGGAGGAAGTGACACACACACACACACACACACACACACACACATACATATATACTGTATATTTAATTTATTTATCAGGAGGAAGTGACACACACACACATACATATATGTTATATATGTGGCTCAGTGGTAGAGCATTGTGTTAGCAGCTCAAAAGGTCGTGGGTTCAATTCCCAGGGAACTGTCACGAATCCGGTCCATGAACTTCCGTCTGCTAGCCATCAGAGGTCACCCTTTCCATTTTCATTGACTCTCGCACTACACACTGTTGCATATCACCCCGGACTACATATCCCATCATTCATTGCACTGATTGCACACAGCACTGATTGCACACAGCTGTTTCATATCACTCACTCACTATATAACACTCACTCAAACAACCATTCTCTGCCGAGTATTGTATGCGCTTATCGCCAGCAGTGATAGCTACTCTACAGAGCCCTCTTTAGCTTCCTAGCCCAGCCTAGTCTTGCCTTGTCTGTTTTCTCGGTTTTTGATCTGTGCCTGTTTTCCTGGATTTATCCCTTTAGTCTCGCCCTTGTGATCCTGTTCGCCAATCGTGACCTACGCTAGCCCTAGGACTATTCTTGTGTCTTGCCCGCCATATACCTGTTTGCCACCGTTCGACCCTGCCTGTGTTTCTGACCTCCTCTCATGTTAATAAAGCTTGCATATGGATCCGCACGTCTCACGTCTTGTCAGCCCCGTTACAGGAACACACATACTGGTAAAATATGTATAGCCTGAATGCATTGTAAGTCGCTTTGGATAAAAGCGTCTGCTAAATGCATAAATTATTAATTAATTATTATTAATTATATATATATATATATAAAAATATAATATACATTACAAAAAGCTAAATATGTACATACATAAAATAAAGTGTCACTTCCTCCTGATAAATGAATGTATTAAATATAACAAATCTTTAATAAATGTAACAAATTATGTATATAATAGGAATAGTAATATAAATAAGATATACATAAATAAACAATAATAATATTCATTACTATGTGTGTTTGTGTGTATGTATGCATATATATATATATATGAAAATAGGAATAATATAAATTAAAAATAATTTTAAATAAATTGCTGTTATATAGGCAAGGCAAGGCAAGGCAAGGCAAGTTTATTTGTATAGCACATTTCATACACAATGGTAATTCAAAGTGCTTTACATAAAAGAAAAGAAAAAAAATAATCACAACAATAAAACAAGGAATTTAAAAACATTGAAAATGATTAAAAC